GACGCTTAGAAGCATCCCAGCTTTCACTCATTATGCCAGTAGCACCCTCTTAACCTGACAGCTAAATAAACATCTCCAGATATGACCAACCACTCTCATTAAAAACGAATCCTCTTCAGCTGGGGATGTGTAGCTAAGTAGCAGAGCACTTGCCTAGCATATGTGAGGTCCTGGGTTCCATCCCCAGCATCACCAAAAAAACAAAAACAGATAAAACAAACAAAACTTATAGGACAGGAAGGCACCACTAACCACTATTCTAAAACAAGAATATAATTGAAAATATTAAGAATGTCATCCATTTGTTTCTCGGAATTTCACAAATATGGAGGCAAATTTCATAAGACCACGTAACTGCAAGGTAATTTAAAATGACAGAACTAAGAAATTGAAGATCAGCCCTTTGGTAGTTCAGAAAATGATATCAGTAAGTGGCTTAACTCTGAAGTTCAGTAAGCATTTACCCACCATTCTGAAAATAAAATTAATAAAGTAGTCTTAAATGAACTTAGAAAGCTCTTTGGTGGGGGAGAGGATGGGGCGGGGGCAGGAGGGAGAAATGACCCAAACAATGTTTGCATATGTGAGTAAATGAATAATTAAAAAAAAAAAAAAAAAGAAAGCTCTTTCAAAGGACAGGCAGCTTACCAATGAGAAAAGAAATGTCAAGAACTAGTAGTCAAAAAGTCGCACTTCTACAGTGGGAAGCTTACCCAGACGTTTTCTGGGGCTGAGAGGCAGAATTTTTGTGTTTACACAAGGAGAACAGGGTCCAGCCTGGATATTCGTTGGTTCCAGTTTAGGGTCACTAGGGTTTTTCGTTTTGTTCAATGTCCGAGATAGCTTCTTTTTTGGAAAACTGATTGTAGCCTGTGCCTGAGATCGGGTTTGTGGCATGATGACAACGCAGCCGACTACAAAAACAAAAACCTAAAAACCAAAAACAGAGACGCCGTTAATTGACGTGGGATTTTACTGATGAGCCACACTCGCCCGTTATCTCCGCGTTTGGTTCTGCTCCGCACGAGAGCCATGCAGTCACCTGCCGTCCACCTCGGGGCGTGCGATGCTGTGACAGTCTACTGTGACTCCTTTGGGTTTTACAGCCGGCTGGGGGTGGGGACTTAGGTACCATTATTGTTATTCCTCTCTTAGATGGGAGGCCCGAGATGCCCGGAGGCGCAAAGTCTGGCGCCAGAGCGACGCGGTAAGTTTACCTTAACTGATGTCCCCAGTCCCTCCCTAGTCCTGACAACGTGGCGACGTCTTCCCGGTCTTCCCTCTGCCCCACCCCGGCGCCTTTCCTTCATACAGCCACTGCTAGGACCCCTCGCACCACGCACGTTCTCCTTCCCTAACTCCGGCCATGTCTGCCTGTTCTCTTCTCATTTCATATGGGCCTAGCTCGAACCCGCAGTTCTCACGCCAGTCCTTCCCCAACCCATTGGCTACCAGACTCCAAGCCTCCCCGAAATATCTCCTCTCCTTTCCGCCCCTCAGGGCTGCGTCACCTCGATGCAGGATGCTTCTTGCGTCTTACACACGGCCTCAAGAACTCTCCACCACAAACTCCACGTAAACTACGGAGCAGCAGAAGCAAAGTTAGCTCGCGCCAAATGTGCTCAGCCCCAGCATTCCGGTCTCGCGCCAAAGCCAAGCCTCGCTTCCGATTGGCTGTTGCTCCAGCGCCGCGGGCCTTGGCCGCTTCTCTTTCTTTCCTGTCCAATCCTGCGGAAGGCCCACAACCAATAAGACAGCCCCTGGTCTCAGAGCCAACATGAAGCCACGCCTATTGGAAGGGGAGGGTAGTTACATCCGGGGCCTCTACGGAAAGGCGCGCTGTTGTAGCAGATGCGATTCTAGTTAGGCGAACCAACACACCGCAAGGCCCGGCGGGAGGTGTAGTCTTTGCCCCCATGCAACTCTTACTTCCGCGTTGTTCCTCTCACACTGGATGTGTCAAGGTATGAGTCCCCCTTCTCACTGCCAAACATACCTATTTTCATTATCCTGATGGGCTAGATTTTTAGAGACCTACTACATAAGACCTACCGCTTGGGGAAGGTTCTGTATGCCAGGCATGATTCTAGGCACCTTACTTCATCCCTCAAGTGTTCGACCCTGCACGGCAGGAAGACGATTAATGTATAGGGTTAGAGTTCACAGCATCTTGGGGGTAGCAAGGGGCCTACGACCCCAGTGTTTTTTGGTAAAGTTCTATAGCTACATAAAGAAACTATATTTCATCACCATATCTGCGGGCTTTGCTTCAAAACTCAGAAATAAGGCCAACCCTTTTGTTTGATTTTTCTCAAGGTAAGATTATATTCTGTGCACATTTCTATCACTTCATCCACACATTGTGGGGAATCACATTACATCTCCTTAATTTTAAAATATTTTATAGCCAAACACCAGGGTTTCAGGGCCAGAGAAGATAGTTATAGAAGAGGCAAGCTGAGCATTTAATGAAAAATATAAATTAGAGTAGTAATTTGTAGGCCAGCTTCCAAGGCTAATAACCCATCTGAGCCTGAGGTTCCTTTAAAGGCCTGAACTCAACTGTAGGTGATGGCATTTATCTTTTATTGTTCAATATCAAATAAAACAGAGCTGTAAGGCTGAGAAATAAGAAAGCAACAATAATATAATCTTCAGTTAATTGTACTAAGTTCATATAGGAGATAAGAGCCAGTACTGAGTGCTTATGCTTATGCTTATGCTAAGGACTGAGCTCAGTATTTTACTTATATTACACTTTATTAATCTTCACAAGCACCTCATGAAGTTGGTATTTATTTCAATTTTACAAATGAGGAAACCAAAGTAAAGTGGGTGGGTAAACCTGCCCAAGGTCACACAACTAGTAAGGGGAAGTGCTGGAATTTGCACTGTGAAGTCTGACAGGAAATCAGACTCTTGACCACTTCATCACAGGGGAAGGATTAAACAGACATGGATTCCAAGTAGGAAGAGATGGTAAAGGGATATATTTAGAGAAGGTTTTCTAGCAGTTAAAAAATTCTGGGCTGGCAGAGTGGCTCAAGTGGTAGAGTGCCTGCCTAGAAGGTGATGAGGCCCTGAGTAAAAAAAACAAAAACAAAACACTACAAAGGCTGTTATGAATGAAAAAAAAAAAAAGTTACTACAGAGGGCTGGATATGTAACTCAGCAGTAGTGTGACTGCCTAGCATGTGCAAGGCCCTGAGTCTGATGCCCAGCATTGCAATCAAACAAACAAAAAAGTTACCACAAAACCTATGCTTTCAGATCAGATGTTATTTCTCATCTAACAGGACAACAGAATGCAAGAAGCAACCCTCAATGTTCATGTTTTTATAACTTGGGCACCTAAAAACTGCCTTTAATAACCTGAAATGGTAATGTCTATCCAGCAAGCTTTAAGAGATGGCTTAAACCTACCTCAGTTACAATGGGAGAAAACAGAGGAAGCTATAAACACTTAGCATGCATATTGGAGCCCGTGAAAACATTCACCAGGAAATACTGCTCTGGTTCAAGAAAACTCTACAAGAGTAAATGACTACTGTTGCAAGCAGGCAAAGATTCACAGAATGTCAGAATTGAAAGGTCTCTAAAAGGTTATGTACCTAGCCAAGCACCAATGGCTCAAGCCTATAATCCTAGCTACTCAGGAGACAGAGATCAGGAGGGTCATGGTTCAAAGCCAGTCCAGGCAAATAGTTCACGAGACCCTATCTTGAAAATACCCAACCAAAAGGGGTTAGTTGAGTGGCTCAAGTGTAGAGCAGCTTGCCTAGCAAGTATGAGACCCTGAGTCCAAACCCCAGTACTTCCAAAAAAAAAAAAAAAAGTTATCTACTTGAAGCTTTCATTTTCCATTAGTAGTGATCCTCCAGTACCATGATGTGCACACCACTGTCTCTCATTTCTGTGCCTTTGTTCTTGCTGTTTCCTTTCTCTGGAATACCACTCATCACACTTCTTCCCAGACAACTCCTATAAAGCCTTTTAATACTCTGCAAAGATTTCTCCTGATAGCTGTCCTGAAGACTAGGGCTTCTTGGAGGCAAGCACCATGTCTTATTCACCTTCATTTGTCGGTGTCTACTACAGAGTAAAGTACACAATAAATGCTCACTGAAGAAATGAAAAGGACATTTCTTCCAAGTGGACATACACCATTTGCATGTACATTTTTTTGTGTGTACACACACACACACACACACACACTTTAAGGGGCAGAAAATGAATTTAATTATGTGTAAAAATAATCCAGACTTGGTTTCAGCATCTCAAGGGTAAAGCCCTTCCCACAGTTATCTTCTGGGGTGGTCAGGATCTCAAGTTGACATTTTAGCTCTTACCTCTGTCAGTAGATTACTAAGAAATCAGATAGGCAGCTTCCTTCCAGTGAGTTGCACAGTTCACATGGTAGGAATGGGTCAGGAAATACTGAGGCACATTCACGGCAAGCAGATGTGCATCAGTAATCACCAGAGTGAACAAAGCAGTGTCCTAGCACCTAACTCTCACATAGTTCCATACAGGAGGAATTAAATCATACCAGAAGGACCTGTCTGGCATCATTTAGTAAAGAGAGAAAGACACAGAGACAGACTAGCAATACCATTCCCATGAGACAGAGAAAGCCTATAGGGAAAGAAAATTGAGAGTCATTTAGGTAAGTTCCATTTGCAGGCTATTTAAAGTCAGGAATAACAATTAAATCAATAAATAGGTAGCTTATTAATCATATTAACAATGATGGGTCAAATAATCGAGAATTCAGCCAGTCTGGTATGGATAAAAATGAGCTCTTTTTCCCTCTCCCTCCCTCCCCTTCACAGGTTTTTATATCTAAATTATGAGAGTGATTCATACACACACCCATTATGAATCAGTATGGGAAATAATTTTAAGACCTTTGCTAGTAATGGAAGTGCAAGTTAAGCTCATTAAACCTTAGTGGTTATTATGTCAGCTGACCACAGTAAGCAAAGAATGACTGGTTGAATTTTTTTACACCTAAAGTCAAAGTTCAAGAAAACTAGCTAAGATTTCAGCTTAAAAAGCAGTGAAGAAAACAGCCAACACCCACACAAAAATGGATACATGGGCCATAATGCCCTGCCCCCACCTTTTCTTTCACTGTCCATTTGAGAATCAGCCAACACAGACAAAAAGAATCATTAAGGGATACCAGAAAGGACACAAGGCTAAGGAGCCTTTTGTGTTCCCTGAAATCATGGGCAAAGGGGAGTTAGGTAGCAAACAGAAAATACTTTCAGAATCTGCAGGTCACTGTAGTTAACTAGAACTGTGATTTTTAAAATACAGTAGGAGAGAAGACCCTTGGAAAGCTGCAGATGCTTCTGCTCCTCAAGTCAGTACACCTACTTTCTCAGGGGACCTCAAATCAAATCACCACACTTACCCACAAGATGAGGCAATACCTCTCCTTTGCCACCACTTGAGGCATGACAAGAGTACACAATTTTCACTTTTTTGTTTTTGTTTTTAAGCAAGGTTTAATTAAACTGCATGGCATCCAGAAGAAAGAAATGTACTAAAAAATCCAACCTGAGACCACATTATACATTTTAGAGGGGGAAAAAAAAAAGCAGTGCTATTTGAAAGAAGGAGCACTGTAATCAGGATATAATTCCAAAATAAATCATACAATAAATTATTTTTAAAGAAATTGATCCACTGCCGACAGATGAACACAAACACACACACATGCGCACACACATCATTCTAGCCTTTTTTTCAGTGTTGACTGTGACTTCCATGCTGGTCACTGTTGGAAAGGACAAAGGTTAGAGATGAGAAAAAAAAGGTATGCCCCTCTGCCACCAGTGGAATGACATTTAAGACAATTAGGGAAGGAACCCATTAAACTGTCAGAAGCGAGTAGAAAGAAGGAAACCGCAGTTATCAAGGAAGATTTTAATTATTTCAAAGAGGGAGAGGAAGAAAGCACAGAAATCTAACACAAGTAAAGGCACAATGAACGTGGAGTTGAATGGAACCAAACCCTTCCTTCAATTAAAGTTACCCTTTTTTTCTTTTTTTTTTTTGCATGTGATTTCGAAAGTAGTTACAGTTTTGTTTCATTTTGATTTTAGAGATGAGTCTTGAAGGCAGAGTTGTAAAGCCCTCCTCTCTTCCCTCCCATTCCCTAAATTAGGGCAGCTTAACAGAAAGCCACTTTAACTAGATAATCAGGGACTGAGTTTCAAAAGGGAAAGAAAGACTACAACTGGAATGTGAAGACTCTGATTTGTAGTTGATTATACGTTGGGTTTTCATAAGGACAGACAGCTCTGTGTAGTGTGATCAAAGGGGCTCCGATGCCCTACACTCCACCCCCAGAGTTTCACAGAAAGGAAGGACCCTAGAGTCACACTTCTCCCCCACTCCCATAAGCACTCAGCCTACAGATTATTTCAAGTGATCAGGAGAATTAAAACATACCCCAACCCTGAGTTGCTCTGTAGCAAGTCTATTTACAATTTTTTTCTCACCTTTCCCTGGAGGTAAATCTGTGTTTCAAGCTGGGAAGTCACTGGGTAAGGGCATTCCCTCAGTGCAATGGCTAGTGACTAGTCTCTGCCTTTGCCAGGTAAGGGGGCTGGGACAAGTTCCTGTAGACAGCAGCCTCACATTCATCAGCTGGAATAGCCCTATGATCACTCTGCTGGCCTAGCCTATGAAAATAGTGGAGTTGCTCCCAGGTGGAGCAGATCCCAATAAGTGAGTAAATTATACCTGGAATATCAAAGTGCTTTGGTCCAGGTTTAGTGATCAGAGATAGGAAGACAGGGATCCAGCTTATTTAAACACCTAGAGGCCACTACCCTACTTCCGAACAGGGTGGTAAGAAATAGCTATTACAGTTTTCCACTAGAGAAAAACATCACAAAACCAAACCCATACAAGAACTGTTAGCACAGCTTCTTGATGCTTAGCTGGGCAATGTCTTTTCCCTCTGGGAGGGGACAAGGGAGTTAATAGAACTGGGTAATAGCCTCAACATGAGACCACCCAATCTTCCACTGAAGAGACAAAATTCTCACAAGCAGATAAAAAGAGCAGTTTAAAAGGTGAGAAGTTTTAGTGCTCTTATAGCCAGCCAACCTTAAGCCTATATTACAAGCTTTGTACAACATACAAAATACACCACTAACTATAAGGATCACATTCCCGCCTTCAATAGCAAATATACATGATAATAATCCTGTTATTAACAGCGGGACAGAATAATATATAAGGCAAAGACATTTATATAGGTGCTGTGCCATCGATATACTCCGAAGGAGAAAACCTATTTGATTATATCTGGACCCAGGCCTTTTTTTCTCCATGAGGCAAAGACAATGAAAAATACAGTCAATACCCATGTGACACAGCCCAAATGCTGGGGAGTATGAGGAGCAGCAGGTCACGGGGAGGAAGATATTAGCCCCAATGAAAAGCTGGGGTTTGGCTTTATTTGTGATACATATTTTGATGCTCTAAGTTTGAGTAAAGGGGAAAAAAAGATACACACTGATAATATTATATAAAAGTTATCAACTCCCATTTCAAAAACAAATGGGAAGGCTTCACAGTCAAAGTTCAATAACGTGCCAACATCTACGCTGGAACTCTGCTGCAGTGTCAACTCTTGCACTCCCCTCTCTCACCTCTATTCACCTCAGGATACTGGAGATACTTCTGAGAGGTAACCGCTAACAGACTTGAAAAGAAAAATGATAATCAGTGATTAGAAAAAGTTTGGTGATAGATCTAATCATAGTCTGTCGTAAGAGTCAATGTGGTTCAGGGATTGGCAAAGGACAGCAGTCTCCAAATAACCCAAATTAAGCCTTCTCTCACTGAGCTCAGGGAAAATTTGGGTTTCACCTGGCATCATGCACAGATCCTTAGCCTATGATCCAACAGATCAGAATGGTCCCTAAGGCAAGTTAAGCCTGGGATGATGTGGCTAGTGAAAGTTTTTAACTAGCTTTCCCCATTCATTTCAAAGAAGACTGGTTTCCCTGCTCTCACACCAAGCTTTGTGCAGCCTCTGCACATGGCAACAGCTATAGCGAACAACCCTAGTGTGTGGAGTCCAGAAGCCCCATCCTGCTGTTGGAGAAAGGACAGGCACTGTCCCACTGTTCAACCTCAGTTGGAACATCCATTTTCTCTGTGTTCTTTAACTAGGACCTGGAAGACAAAGAAACAATGTATTGCTGGCTGCCGAGGAAGCCCTATTGGATTGAGGCACACCTCACCGAAGTCTCTGTGCTTCTTGGCATAGAGAAATCTTTGAATATCCCCACATGCTTCTACTTACTTCCTCACCTTTTCTATTCTGCTGTTAGCCCCTGTGGTCTTGGGAAGGTGAGCTGGCAGAGAAAGAAACAGGAAGAGCCTGCTCAGTTCAAGATGGCTGTGAATTTCACTATTAGCAGACTATAAAGTCCTTTGTAGCCCCACATAGCCAGACCCTCCAAGGAAGTCTTTCCTCTTTCCCTTCTTAGTTATCGTGACGTACACTCTAGGGGCTAAAGGACTCAAAGTGACAATGACTACTTCAGAGCCAGTTAGAAAAAACTGAGGCAGACTCGAGGTTGAGGTTAAGGCATAGGCCCTATCTTCTTATCTCCCACCAAAGGTTTTTGGGCTTTGTGAATCAGGAATGAATGATGCCCTTGACAAAAAGTGACTTGTCTCTTGAGGGGATGGGAAGAGGGGGAGAACACCTTCAACCTAGCACCCTGAGAAAGGGGGCAGGAAGTCACAGATGACTCAAATGGCTCCTGGTTCCTCAACTACAATAGAAACTGACTAGTTCTAAATGATCCTCAGTTTATTTTGCCCCTTCCTTTTATTAAATGTTTAGTTCAACTGATTAGTATTTAGTGTGCATTTTCAACTTATCCCTGGGTTGGTGTGGGGGGGATGAGAACAAAACCAAAACATGCCTAAAAATAATGAAGACCTATTTCCTTATCCTTTCTCTAAACCTGACCTTTAGAACAGATCACTTCTCTGCAAACTCCTTTACTGTTTCACTAAAAATGCTTCCCCATAAGTACTGGCTGTGCCAGCCTCCTAAACAATGTAATATAATGCACCCACCACGCTTCCCCACAGTGCATAAGAGTGGATGGGCTACCATTCTCCACCCTGCCCGAGTCCATTCACCACAACAAGGCACCTTTCCCCAGAGGAAAGCAGGAGACATGGAAGCTTTCTCCTCTTCTAGCTAGGAGGACTTGCTGGAAGAGGGATGGATGCAGGGTTTTAGGCCCTGCTGTCATAGAAAGAGTCCAATCACCAAGTCCAGAGACGAGCTGCATAGATGGAGGTGAGCTGGAAGGATGCTTGGAGTCGAGGACTGGTCGCACTGGAGAAACACAGCAGGAGCTCTCATGCAGGTTGCAGGGGGGATGAAAGGGACCATCTGAGAAGAAGAGGTCCATCCTTTTCCTGAGGAACAGGACCAAGCCAGGCTTCACCTGAGAATGGGTGGCAGAGGTGGGGCTCCACGGGCAGCTGAAAAAAAAAAACCAAACAAACCATACTTATATAGATCACACTCCAGACCCTGAATAATACAAACATTCCTGAAATGAGAGGAAGGCTCTTTAAGCTAACCTTTAAAACCTGGAGATTAGGTTTTGTTGTAAGTTTGACTGTTTTACTCTACAGGGAACTGAACCCAGGGCTTCCCGTTTGCTAGGTAAGCACTCTACCACTTGAGCTATGCCCCCAGCCTGTTTTGCTTTATTTAAAAAAGTTAAGTTCCTAGCTACTCAGGAGGCAGAGATCAGGAGGACTGAGGTTCGAAGCCAGCCCCGTGCAATTAATTCCACGAGACCCCTATCTCGAAAGTACCGAACATAGAAAAAAAAAGGGCTGGTGGAGTGGCTCAAGGTGTAAGGCCCTGAGTTCAAGCCCCAGTACCACAAAAAAAAAAAAGTGAAGATGAGAAGATTTTGACCTAAGAAAAACACACAAGTTCCTTTCTTTTTCTTTTTTTAAATACTAGGGTTTGAACTCAGGGCCTTGTGCTTGCTAGGCAAGTGCTCTATCACTTGAGCCATTCCACCAGCCTGAAAACACACAAATTCTTTGTTTTATGCAATTGTGAAAAAAAATTTCTTTACTATTCCTCTCACCTCGGTTTGTTTTACTGGGATATATTCTTTGAAAATGTTTATATTCTTCTGGAGCAGGGAAGTCTTCTACTGGATGGAAGGAGTACTTTGACTCAAAGTCATCTGTGAAAACAAAAGAATATTAACTCACATCACCTTTCCTTGTGTTCTCACAGACCCTCTCCACTTACTGATCTCTCATGCATTCTGAGTATGGAGGGGGGTCTGCCTTGGTCACCAAACCAAGTTTCCTGAGAACAGTTAACAGCATCACCTGGGGTGCCTATCATACACAGTCTTATTCAAACATTATCTCAAGGATTCTTTGAGCTGATTTTTTAAACCTTTCCACCAAAAATCAGAGACATATCAGGAAAGGAGCCCAGCTGGGCTGCATGGATGCAGAAAGTAAGTTCTGTATCTCAAAATAACATGGTCATCTTAGAGACTGAATTGAACTTAAAAACTGGTAAATATTAACCTCAAACAGGAATGGCTAGTGAGAGATTTGACCAGATAATTCTCTTTCAGCCTAGATTACCCTCATTTACCTCTGCAACATAGTTCAGATAGCCATCTCCTGGTCTCCACTCCCACCTTCTATGGTCCCTGCAGAAGAAGGTTCAAGTTTCCTATAGGTGTGACTTAATCCACATTTCAAGGGTTCTTTTTCCATCTATTTTTCACTTTGCCTTTGTGAGACACAGTTACACTATGTGGCTCAGGCTGGCTCCAAACTTATGATCCTCCTGCCTCAGCCTCTTTTTTTCTTTTTTTGTGGTACTAAAGCTTGAACTCAGGGCCTACACCTTGAGCCACTCCACCAGCTCATTTTTATGAAGGGTTTTTTCGAGATAGAATCTTGCAAACCATTTGCCTGGGCTTGTTTCAAACTGTGTTTCTCCCAATCTCTGCCTCCTGAGTAGCTAGGATTACAGGCGTGAGCCACAATGTCTGGTGACATTTCAAAGGTTTCTTCAATATTATATTCAAAACAAAGCCTTGGTGCATCTAACAGGAATAGACTAGAATATGAGGAAGGAGAGCAACCACTAAAAAATCTAGAGTGTTTAGATATCCTTGGGAAGCTTGAGAGTAGCTTGACACCTAATGATTTTACTTCAGACTATTCCAAAGCAACCATGCTTAGAATTAATTAAGGAAAGGGGTATTAATGGATTGGGAGTAGAAGTCTGCGGGGAAAATCAAGAGAGAAACTGCCTGTGAACAAAGACTACTATGTGGCCATTCCCACGCCACAAAGCTCCACACTGACCACCTGATAGCCAAGGCACTGGAGTCAGTGAAGTCTCCACAGGAACTATGAGACAAAATGGGTAACTACTCACCCAAGAAAGACCGGACAGTGGTGACAGAATCTCTATGGCCATTCCTCAAGGGTGGTGGTGGAGGAGGGGGTGGCCCAGCAGGCGTCCTTGAGGGCGGAGGTGGGGGCTTTCCTCTGTTCAAGGGTTCTGACCCATGCATTCGGTACGGTGGTGGGGGAGGGGGAGCATCCCTGGCACCATTTCGGATCATCGGTGGTGGGGGTGGAGGAGCTGCAAATAAAATCCAAAACAGTTAGGCTTGATTGTGGAGCTGGCAAAAGGAAGAAGGACAAAGAGAAAAGACATAAGCTGAAAGAATACCTTGGTACTTTCCCAAAGAACCAGGCTCTGTGCATTTCTGGGTGGCATGGTAAGTATCATATTCATCTTCCCTTTCTTTCTTCCTTTTTATTTATTTTTTGGCAGTACTGGGGTTTGAACTCTGGACCTCATGCTTGCCAAACACTCTGCCACTTGAGCCACATCTCCAGCCCTTTTTACTTTAGTTATTTTTCAAGCAGGATCTTCTATTTTTGCCAGGCTGGCCTAGACCACGATCGTCCTATCTAAGGTCCCTGCATAGCCAGGCACACATCATCATGCCCAGCTTGTTGGCTGAGATGGAGTCTTGCGTATTTTTGCTCGTATTGACCTCATACCATGATGCTTCTGATCTCCGTCTTCCTGAGTAGCATGAGCAACTGCATCAAGACCTTTTTTGTTTTTTTGAGACAGGGTCTGGGTAGCCCAGGCTGGCCTCAAACTTGTGATCTTTCTGCCTCAGTCACCCAAGTGCTGGGATTACAGGCATGTACCAGTTTGAATAGGAGAGAACTTCTTTGGGTCTACACCTCTGGGGCAAAGGACTGTTGACCATGTGCCCACAGAATGTCCTAGCATAGCATTTTTGTTTGTTTTATTTTGGCAAACACTGGGGACTGAACCCAGGACTTTGTGCATGCTAGGCAAGGCCTCTACCACTATCCTATGTCCCCAGCCTCCCCCATGCTTATTCCTTGAACAGGACCACCACTTTTCTACATAGCAAGGCTCAGAGTGAATGTATAACCTTCTTTCATTTTCTACAACTCAGTCAGTCAAGAACTCACAAGTGAGTCAAAATTCACTATTCTTGATGACTTTTTTCCTTGCTTTCCTCCACAGTTCTAATTGATATTCTCATATATAGCTTATTCTGCAAAAGCTTTCCATTTTTCTGGTTTCCAGTCTCTTACTCCTTCAATTCATTCTACGTATCACCAACTCACTAATTACTCTAAAACGCTTGCTTAAGTCTTTTCAAAGACTTTGCATACATCAGAGTGTCAAGTCCTTTGCTTACACAGTAACCTACCACATCAGTCAGCCTGACCTTGTCTTCTTCTTTTTTCTTAATTCCTACCCAGTGTGTCCACACCATCCTCTATAGTGTATTGAACATGTTCGTCATTCATGCTTCTTCACATGTGTACTCCTTAACATCTAAGCAGTTTCTTCATGTGGATTCCTAAGCTTGGCTAAATATACACCACATGGTAAGTACTCAATATTTGCTAAGTAAAATGTATTACTTATGCTCTGTTCTTATGACTCCCTCTACAAAACTCTGAAATCCCTTTTCCATTACAACCAAATCCTACCTATCTTAAAATGTTTAAGTCCTGTTTTCTCAAGACTTTCCCCAAAATTCCACTCTATTCAGAGCCCCTCCTTCTTTGCTCTCCCACAGTATATAGAAGCTCTATTGCTTATTCCAGCACTTAATATAGTACATACTGAAATTGTAATTCTCAAAGCACATATAGTGGATTCACCTTGGAAACTTACATATATGCAGTAATTTTCATTTTCTCTTTCTCTCTCTCTCTCTCTCTCTCTCTCTCTCTCCTCCCCCGAGCAGTATTGGAGTTCGAACTGAGGGCTTCCAGCTTGCTAGGTGCTTTACCACTTGAGCCACACCTCCCCAATGATACTCTCATTGCTCAAAAAAAAAAAAAACTACAGACATCTCTTTTGGAATTGCCTCCAAAGCCAGTTTATTAGGGCCATAAGCATCAAAAACATTTGTCCCTATCTCTGACTTTGCTTCTTGGCCATTTTCCAAAAATTAAACTCACCCTCAGAAGACAAAATTTTGCCACTAAAAAGGTAATGTCAAAAGCATGCTTGAAAAAATGTATTCAAGTTGTACTCCTCCTAGACTTTTCATTAACAGCAGCAGTTAGTATTTATTAGATATCTATTATGTCTCAGACATGTCACAATGTATTAAATACTGTCTTCTGATTATGTGTTTTAAGATAGGGTCTTGTTATGTAGTCCAGGCTAGCCTAGAATTCACTACAGAGTCCAGACTGGCCTCCAACTCCCAATCCTCTTGTCTCTGCCTCCTGAGTGCTAGGATTATAGGACACGCACTACCACACTTGGCTACATCTCTAAAAACTCATATAGCCACCCCTACAAAGTATATGGTATTCTGCCCATTTCTTTTCCTTTCTTTCTTTCGTTTTTGTTTTTAATGGCAGAACTGGGGTTTGAATTCAGGGCTTTGCCCTTGCTAGGCAGGCACTTAAGCCTTGCCCCTAGCCCTACCCATTTCACAAGGTCACAGAGCTAATAAAAAGTCAGCACAAGTCTTCACTTTGCACTACCTTTGCACTGCTTTCCCTAACTACTTCAACCACTGTCTATCATTATCTCCCCAACTGGTTTTACAACCCAGTGAGGTGAAGTGTATCTTCTCAATAAAATAGTATCTGGAGAGACTTCTTGGCTTAACACACAACAGTGTTTTAGTTAAAAAGTATATCTTATTCCATGGGTGGGAGAACATGGCTCAAGCGACAGAATGCCTGCTTAGCAAGTGTAAGTCCTGAGTTCAAACCCTAGTACCACAAAAAGAAAAAAAAAAGTATGTCTTACGATCCTTTTTAATTTCTGTAGGGTGATCATAGTTAAGCACATAATACAGTAACGGGATAATACACACACATTCTCTCTCTCAGAAGAGTAGACTTAATAAATGTTAAGTTTCTGCCTCTCATAGATACACTTGGAATGTCACCTTTCCCTCACTCTTTTCAGCATCTGTATGGACAGGGTCACTAGATGCAATAACTACAAAGAAATCTCCTTAACACCTTCTGGCAGGTCTCTATGCTTCATTTTCATTCCAAATCTCCCAAACAGAAGCTCTTTCAGATAACTTTCAAAGTATTTCCTAAAACCCAGATTTCTCAGGGCCCTAAAGATTTGTATTTACTCCTAGGACATGCCCAGGAAAGTAAGGTACATAGAGTTAACTAGGCTCACAAGGACACCAGTCAGCCACTGGATAGGTGACAGTGATGACCACCAACCTGGACTGGCAAAATAGCAGGACAAAAGTAACATGCTTGGCTCCTCCAGCTCCCTTCCCCAAGGTGTGCCATCCTAACCAGGTTCTGCTATGTCCAATAAGCTTCTGAACCCTGGCAGATTCAATTTTAAGACTGTTTCAAGTTACATAGCTAGAACATAAGGACCCTAAAAACAGTAAGTTTGTTTAAAAAAAAAAAAAAAAAGCCCTTGGATAGATTACCTTTTGGAATCCAAGATAACCACAACTTTTTTTTTTTTTGAGAAAGGATCTCACTAGGTAGTTCAGGCTAGCCTTAAACGCATGATCCTCCTGCCTCAGCTTCCTGAGTGTTTTGATTATAGGGGTGTACCACTACACCTGGCTCATAACTCAAGTTTTAAGGAAAAGAATAGAGTATCAATTCTTTTTTTGGTACTAGGGTTTGAACTTAGGGCCTCACGCTTGCTAGGCAGGCACCCTACTACTTGAGCCACTCTACCAGCCCTTTTTTGTGTTGGGTATTTTTGAGACAGGTTCTCGATTTTGTTGCCAGGGCTGGCCTCAAACCATAATCCTCCTAATCTCTGCCTCTCAAGTAGCTAGGACTATAGGCATGAGTCACTGGCACCTTAAATTCTTTTTTAAAAAGGTAGTGTTTTAATTTGAAAGGGAAAAACTCAGGAAATACACTATGGACCAAGAACACCAGGTTTTATTTTAGTTGCTGAGCACCCGGAGATGACAAAAGACTCCATACCTTTTCAAATGTCATTTACAAAAGTACATTGTCACATATTTTCATAATATGATTTAACAGAGGTAAGTCCATGAGCCATCTACAAGCTCTACATAAAACTAGTAACATTCATCAGCATATATTTTTAGTTTACAGATGAGAAAAACTCTGAATTAGAGCAATCTGCCCAAAGTCATGTAACAAACAGACAATACTCAAAAGATCTCGGACTGAAATATTTCAATTTTTTTCCCTAATGTATCACTGTTAAGAATTGCTGCTCTGCACCTGCGTAGCGAGCACAAACTCCCAATTTCAGATAAGATTGGGCACGTTCAGGGTGGTATGGCCATAAACAAGCTCCCAATTTCAAACCCCAGTGCTGCTCTGGTTATTGATATAACCAGATATAAGAATTGCTGCTCTGGTTATTGATATAGGAAGCAAGCTGAGGCCTACCCGAGGCCTCGTCATTGTTGGTGGCTATAGGGCAGAAGAACACAGTTCATAGGGTGGCAGTGTGGCTCAAGCGGTAGGACCTGCCTAGCAACCATAAGGCCCTGAGTTCAAGCCTCAGTACTGCAAAAACAAATTCTTCCTAAGAAACCAGAGAAAGGACTGAGATATAAGAAGCAAGTAGTCTATGGACAGTTAAAACTATTTAGCTCAACCGACATGCAAACTGCATTTTTCTCTGATTCTGTTACCTAGTTGGAAATCCATGGGCTTTGCTCAAAGGAAGTTTTTAAAAACCTGAACTTTATAGAATCCAGGGCCACCTTAGGACTACATCCTCATGGCTAAAGCTAGGGAGAAAGCACCAGCTACTGTGTGAATAATGCCCTATGGCAGACTGCTAACTCTGAAAGCACAAATTCACATATACCCAACCAAACAGCAGCACAACATACTGGCTTTTAATACATGCTTCTTAATGACATAACTTTTTTTTTTTTGATTGGGTCTTACTTTGTTGCCTAGGCTGGTCTCAAACTTCTGGGTTCAACTAATCCTCCTGCCTCAGCCTCCTGAGTAGCTGAGACTACAGGTATATCACCAAGCCCAATGACATAACTTCTTAATCAATATTCTATGCTTATACAGACTGATTTTAAAATAAAAGCTCAAAAGCCATTTGTAGGGCTGGAGGTATAGCTCAAGTAACAAAGTGCCTGCCTCAAACACTCAAGGCCCTGAGTTCAAAACTTCAGTACTAAAAAAGAAAAAGGCACTTGGAGAAGGTGTGTGTCCAATAACAAGGATATGAGAGCCAAAATTCCTATGTCCAATCAGGTCTCAGAGGGCTGTCACAGTCACCCTTCCTTAAAGAGATCACACATCTCTTCTACCCTTTCTAGGGTTCCTTAATTCCCTTATTCCCCAACTTAAGTACTAATGGTCCATTATTTCAATCAATTCCTTACATAAATCCTTTACTCCCCTGCTCCACTCTTCTGTACAGTCACACATTCTCCCCAAATGTCAATAGTGCCAGGAATGGTGGTACATGTCTGTAATCCCAGTTACTTGGAAGACAAAAGATCAGGAGGCTGGCACTTCAAGGCCAGCCCAGGCAAAAGTAAGCAAGACCCATGTCAACCAACTAGCCAGCCATGGTAGTGAGTACCTGTGATCTCAGTTATGGAAGAGATGTAGGTAAGAGGAACAAGGTCTGAGGCTGGTCCAGGCAAAAACATGAGGCCTATCTGAAAAATAGCTGACAGCAAAACAGAGCTGGGTATGTGACTCAAGTGGCAGAGTACCCTCCAAGGAAGCATGAGGTTCTGAGCTCAAACTGCAGTACTGTCTATTCCTCCCCTAGCCCCCCCAAAAAAGCCAATGCTGGTTAAACACAATTCTGCGTTTTTTAACAGAAATTCTGTACCTACAAATGCACAGCTGAACACATACCATGCGGATTACTCTTACTGGAAACATATGGCCCCTAATCTCAAGCAGCACCTTCCTGTGGCAGCCTATCTGAGCATGTTTCCCTGGTTCACTCATTTTCCCATGCTCCAGATGACCATTCATGTCTTTTTCTCTCTCCTCAAATTGTCCTCTCCTTCCCTGACCTCATTCACAGCTGATGTTCCTGCTTTCTATTTCACTAAGGAAATTAGAACCTTTTTACACATTCCTACCACTATACCAGTTACCGACTTGCTTCTATGCCCATATCCTCTGCCTTCCCTTGTGTTACTATGAAGAATTATGAATCCCTATGTATGGATCAGATTGCATCTTCAAAGACTTTGCTTAGGTAGTTTGTTCCTACTTGATTCAATTTTTCCCTTTCTACTGGTTTCAAGCTACTCATTCCACCAGCATACCAAAAGATTTCCCATCGTGGAGTAAAAAAACAAAACAAAACAGAACAAAAACCTAACCTACACTGTCCTCCTCCAGCAGCCATTCTATTTGTGTGTACACACACACACACACACACACACACACACACACACACACACAGCACTTTGCAGCAAACACCTTAAAGAGATTTCTATATTGCTATCTCCAATTCTTATCCTTCCATTCCTGCATTCTTTTCATTTTTCTTTCCTTTTTTTGGTCAGACAATGTCTCACTATGTTGCCCAGGCAGTTCTCAAATTCCTGGGCTCAAGTGATCCTCTTGCCTCCACTTCCCAAGTTGCTGGGATCTAGTCCTACATTCTTAAACCCACTCCAATTAATCTTCCACCTTCACCCTCCACCTCTGCACTGAAACTGCTAAGAAAGGTTCCTTGATGCTAAGGCCAGTGTCTTAAGTTCTCAGTCTCCAACTTACCTTACCTTTCTGCAACATTGGTTACAGTGGACTACTCACTTTACCTTGGAGTTTTTCCATCACTCTCTTGGTTCTTCTCATTCCTTTCTCCCTAGACGCTTTTGTTTCTTCTGCTGGGTTCTCTTCATCTTTCTTGCCTCTAATGTAGGAGAGCCCCAGCACCCAGATCTCTTCCTGACTATACTACCTCCACAGGTGATCCCTTCAAGCATGTAGTTTTTGGTATCATTGAAATGTAACTCTCTACCCCTGACCTCTCTCCCCTGACTGTCAGAGTATGACAGCCAATCACTAATTTGTTATCTTCTCTTAGATGTCTAACAGGCATCTCAAACTCAATGTGTCCAAAACTAAATAGCAATTATCTCCAAAACTTGCTGTAGTCTTACCCACCTGCCCAGTTTGTTGCAACAGCCTCCTGAGTGGTCTCCTTTTGCCACCTTTGTCCTCCTGAAGTCTGTTCTCAACACAGAAGCTAGTTATCTTGTTAAAAGATGCATCAAATTATACTACTCTGTTCAAAATCCCCCAGTGGCTTCCCTTCTCACAGAGTTCAGCCCAAAGTCTGTACGAAATGCTACAGTGGTCTCCCAGGGAGATCTAGTTGTCTCACCTCCACTCCTGCCTGCCCTTCTCCTCATCCTAGTCTTGTCACAATGATCTGCTCCCAGAAATACCCATGTCAAGCATATTCCTGCCTCAGAACCTTTGCATCTGTTGTTCCTATTGCCTGCTACAGCTATTCTGTCAAATAATTACTTGGCTTATCACTTTCGTCACATTGTCGCCATCCTAGTAGGACCTTTTCCCTCTACCCACTCCCCTAATTTGAAACATCATCACCCCATCCCCAGCGCATCCTCTGCTTCTCTTTGTATTTCTCTAAAGCATACTACATACTATGTACTCATATGATTTATTAGTTTGTCCACGAGAATTTTTTTGTCTTTTCTATTTACTGCTGTTTCCCTAATAGCAGAGTCCAACACATAAAAAGGGACTCAATTAACTAGGTTACTGAATTAATGAATTCTTACTCTCTCCAATCACTGAAGGGACACTAGGGGGAAAAGTGAAAAGATAAAACTGATGATAGAAAAAAAAAAAAAAGGTGCTTCCAAGCACTTACCTGCTCCCCTACTGGGAGGATCTCGGGCTGGGGGAGGTGGCCTGTTAGTCAGTAAAGAAGGGGAGGCTGAGGTGGGTGGAGGAGGCGCTAGACCTCTGACAGGCCCAGGTGTCTTCCTATGCAAAGAATTGTGTCTCTGTGGCAGCTCAGGGGCTGACTCATTAGTGGGACTGGAGGGTCCATTGGGGACCCCAGGAGGCTGGCGGTAAGGCGGAGGAGGTGGAGCCAGAGACTGGCCACTTGGTCCTGTTCTGATATTCACAGGGGAAGGAGGTGGTTTGACTGGGGGTGGAGCAGGAGGTCCCTCTCGACCAGGGTGGAGCCTTTGTCCAGGCGTCGGTGGCAAGGGTTTCTCTCTGTTGTAGGCTGGGATTTTGTTGCTGTGCGTAGGCAGAGGTGTAGGAGGTGCATTGGCACGCCGTCCTGGAGGTGGTGGGGGAGGGGCAGAGGAGCTGTGCTTCATGCCCGTAGTGCTGGTGGTATTGGGCCGAGAGAGGTCCGGTAAAGAGGGTCTCTGTGTCCGGGGCAGTTCTGGGAGGGAGGCTCTGCTGCTATCTGTGTCATCTTGAGGACGCCCACTGGCTGCAGACACTGGAGGCCTTGGGGCAGCAGCTCGAGAACTGGGGATTTGTAGGGCTGGCTTACCAGCCAGGTTCTCTACAAATACACCAGACAACATTTGGTCAACAGAGCTCAATATGCATCAGTCAGTATCTCTTACTTTACCTAGCCACCTAAGTGCAACCTGCATAGTGGTAACAAAAGTACTTGCGTGGTTCTGGATTGTCTTGTCTAGTGCATACAAAGCACTTCTTCCATCACTGAGCTACATCCCCACCCTAGTTCTGAGTTTTAATCTAATTTTAGGCCCAGAACCCATTAAAAAACATTGCGATGTATATTTTTACATTTAACTTTTAATTGACAAATATTGTGCATACTTATGGGGTACAATGTGATATTACATGTACATGTTATAGATTGAATCAAGCTAATCAATATCCCATCAGCTCACATACTTAGAACATTTCAAATCTCTATGAGCAATTTTGAAGTACACATTATTATAAGTTATAGTAACCATGCTGCACAACAGATCACTAAAATTTATTCTTCCTAATTGAAATTCTGTATCCCCCTTTGCTATCCCCTGCTTCCCAACCACCATTCTACTCTTACTTCTGAGTTCAACTGTTTTTTGTCTTTTTTATTAATATATATTAATTGTACAAAGAAGATGCATTGTGATATTTCTATGCATATATAATATACTTTAATCAAATTCATCCTCTTTTTAATTGTTTCAGATCCCACATACAAGTGAGATGACACAGTATTTGCCTTTTTTTATGTCTGGCTTATATTACTGAACATGATGTCCTCCATGTTTATCCCTGCTGTCACAAATGACAGAATTTTCTTGTTTGTAAAGACTAAATAATAATCTATTTTGTATATATACCATGTGTTAAGTGCATTTTCATTTAATCCCTCTGTACTCTGTAACTCCCCCTTTGCTCCTCCTCCTCCTCCTTCCCACCCTCAACTATAACCCTCAACCCAAGATGGCCCACTTGAGACAAGTCAGAAATTAATGTACTTGGGCAATAGTCTAGAAAAGTACTTGTCAGGTACCTGAAATGTCCTTGGCTCCCACAGGCCGGAGTTTTGGCACTCCTCCTTGGAAGAGACCTCCCTTGGGCTGCAGGGCTACGGCTCCAGAGCCATAACCACCACCGCTTCCTTTGGGCTCTGGAAAACATACCATCAGGATTTTCAGTTCATATGCTCTGAGCTGGTAACCAAGACAATCCTGAGGAAAACTCCATTCTATATTTGGGCTTTAATTTTCAAACAAACCAATCTTGTTTTTGTCTTTCTATTAAAATAAAGCTAAGCCTCTCTTATCCACAGTTTCATGTGGGGACAAAACTCTGCTGTGATGGAAAATAAAAGGGCAGTAGGAAGTAGGAGCCAATCTTTTATTAGGATGAAGAGAGAACAACTGGGATAAAGAAATGCTCAACAGAGTTCTCAGGGCTCTCCTCTCCAACTTCCAGATGGTAAGGGGTCTTAGTGTGAACAAACTGTCCAGTGCCCTATAGTAATGGACACTTACAGCAATTATAAAAATATCCTTGGTTTTAGCAATGAGGTTTCTAGCAATGTGGTGGTTCCTCAGAGGATAGTCAAGGATGTGCCCCAATAAGCATTAGTTATAGTAGGAGGTAGAGTCTTAACCCTGAGAATATTTCCCAAAGTTAAGAAGAAACTTCTAAGGTATACAAATGAGCAGACAGGAATAGAGTCAAAGAACTTTTCCACTCAAGCCCAACAATAAAAATGACAGCCTAGCTAAGTCTCCAAGATAATCCTGGGATCCTAGAGTTTCACTAGGAAATAAAGCTTAGACTCACTCTCAAGGACAGGAGCACTCCTATCATTAATGTTGGTCACCTTCTTCAATTTGGTCCCTTTGCAAATGTCCTGTAAGAGGGCGCCTCGATTCCGCTGCTCATCTCTACTCAGCTTAGGCTGTTCTGTGTTTGCCTGGAGGAAGAGAGAAATGTATAAATAGTTCCCTTCATCAAAAGTTCAAGATAAATGACTTAAGCCAAACTGGATTTCATAAAATGCCTATGTAACCTAATCAGATATATGTGCCAAATAGCAATGTTAAGGTGTACCCCAAGTCTTTTGCTTTCGCCCCCACCTCCAGTTCTACCTTCTGTGAGGATTATAGATCTCCTTTCTATTCAAAAATTCATGGTGGGAGATCTGAACTAATATTGAATGCCTATGTGCTAGGTTTTATGTTACACATTTTATACACATCACCATTATCAAGTCAATACTTTTTTTTTTGGTGGTACTGGGATTTGAACTCAGGGCCTCACACTTGCTAGGCAAATGCTCTGCTACTTGAGCCTCTTTGCCAGCCCTTTGCTGTGTTGGTTAGTTTTGAGATAAGGATCTCTTGAACTATATGCCCAGGTTGGCTTTGAACCATGATCCTCCTGATCTCTGCCTCCTGAGTAGCTAGGATTATAGGTGTGAGCCACCAGCTCGAGCTAAAAAGACAAGCTTTTATTGAGCCCCTACTATATCCAGGCATTGTGCTAAGCATAAGAAAGGCTTTATTGGACTAGTTGTGGCTCAAGCAGTAGAGCACTTGTTCTGCAAGCCTGAAGCCCTAAATTCAAAGCCCAGTATCACAAAAAAAAAAAAAAAAAAATTAAGGACATATTTTTAAGCCAGGCACTGGTAGCTCACACCTGTAATCCTAGCTACTCAGGAAGCAGAGATCAGGAGGATCATGGTTCAAAGTCAGCCAAGGCAAATAGTTCAAGAGACCCTATCTTGAAAAAGCTGTTCACAAAAATGAGCTCAAGGTGTAGACCCTGAGTTCAAACCCTAGTACTGCAAACAAAAAAAAAGGCATTATTATCATTAACTTCATTTGGAAAGTGTGAACCAGAAGCTGAATAGCTTCTTCAAGTCATATGACTAATAAATGGTAAAGCAAAGATCCAAATCCCTACAGTAACTCTAAAGCTCCTCTCTCAACTAACATACCCTATTTACCATCTTAATTTTATCCTCTACACAATGTTATAAAGTAGATTATTCTCATTCTAAAAATGAGGAAATAAAGATTTAGGAAAGTTAATGTCACAGGATCAGTGAACAAAAGAGCCAAGATTGATTGATTGATTGATTGATTGATTGATTGATTTAGCAGTACTGGGGCTTGAACTCAGGGCCTTCACCTTGAGCGTCTCTACCAGCCCTTTTTTGTGAATGGTTTTTTGAGATAGGGTCTTTCAAACTGTTTGCCCAGGCTGGCTTTGAATCTTGATTCTCCTGATCTCCACCTCCTGAGTAGCTAGGGTTACAGGAGTAAGCCACCGCACCTGGCTCAGAGCCAAGATTTAAATACTGATCTTCCTCTAAGTTCACTGCTTTTTCTACTCTCCCTACTCTTTCACAATCATGTTTCTTTTCAGGTCCTTCATATTCCTCTTAAATGTCATTTCCCAGAGTTCTATCCGAGGCCTCTATCTAAAGTTTCTGAGCAAGGCCATCCAGCACCAGCATTTGCATGCCACACATAAGCCCAAAATCACAAATCTTTTTATCTTGTCTGCATTCCTCTAACCTGAACTTTATATCCATATAGGCCAACACTTGCAGGACATCTCCAATTGAATATCCTACCTGTATCTAAAATACAACAAACACATTGAAACCATGTTCCCAAAGAAGACAGCTAAATATCATATATTTAAATCTTACAAAGTTTATAAGTATAGAGCTTTTAAAACTAAACACCTAGTAGAATTTTTTGGAAGCCATTAAAAATTATTATAGAACTGGGCATGGTGACACATGCCTGTAATCTCAGCACTTGTAGGAAGCTGAGGCAGGAGAATTTCACATTCAAGGCCAGTCTAGACTACAAAAAAAAAAAAAAACTAAACTAAAATCTACCTAGAAGACTAAGCATGTGAAAAAAAAACAAACCTAAGAAAATGGGACTTGTACCACCAAAAGTCAAGACAAACTGTATCAGGAGTTAATAAATCCAACAAAATGCAAAGTCTGTAAGCAGGCCCATGTCTATGTAAGAAATAATAAAAGTGTATTTCATCAGTGCAGAATGGATAGGTTACTAAATATGAGGTGTTGATAACAACTAATTTCTGGAAAAAAATAATAAAGTTAAATGCCTCATGATTTACTATGAAACAAAATCTAGCAGACAAAACCACATATGTACTATATTTTTTAAAAAATAGGAAAGAAGGACTTCCTAAATATAATTAAAATACAGGAAAAAGATGACTTATTGCAAAGTATTTACATAGATTATAAGTAGGTAAGCAGATGATAAATTGGGAGGAAAAATATCCAAGACAAACTTAACATATGATGGGCACAAAGTTAACACTGTAAATCTAAACACATAAAGATGACTTACAGCGCCTGAGTGGTGGTACAGGCCTGTAATCCCAGCACTCAGCAGACTGAGGCAGGAAGACTGAGGCTGACTAGGGCAGGTCAGCCTGGGTTACATAGTGAGACCCTGTCTCAAAAAACAAAAAATAATAAAGTAAAAATAAATAATAAAGATGATCTACAAACTAACAGGAAAGTAACCAAAGGACATAGCCAATACTGAACAAAAAAAAAACAAATAGTGCTGGGCGCCAGTGGCTCCCATCTGCAATTTTAACTACTTGGGAGGCTGACATGGAAAGGATTGCAGTTTGAGGCTAGTCCTGGTAAAAAGTGAGCCCTATCTCAAAAAATAACCAGAGCAAAATGGACTGGAAGAGTGGCTCAAGCAGTAGAGCCCCTGACTCTCTAGCACAAGCCTGAGTTCAAACTCCAGTACCACCCAAAAAAATAAAAGAAACAAAGAAATCAAATAGCAAGCAATTATAAAAAAATTTCCAACTACACTAGTATTAAAAAAGAATACTGGCTAAAACACATTATTATTTTCTTATTACACTAATAAAGATTACAACTATAACTATAAAAAGCCTGCAGTGCCCCGCATGTTGAGGAACCTCAAAAAAATATGTACGATGAATAAGAATTCAGGTACTCTTAAACTACACTAATTAGGTAGGATAAGATAAAAATTGGTATCATTAAAGTGGTATGGTAAGAAAACCTACAATTTTTAAGCAAAGAAATAGGATTTGAAAGCCATCAATCCACTTACTTAAAGGTTTTGAGTAGCCTACTGGAAAGACTACCTACCTGATTAAAAGTGGGAGGTGGAGGAGGACCAGGTGGGGGTGGAGGGGGAGGAGGAATTGGCATCCTTGCCCTGCTCCGGGTTGGCACTGCTGACTCTCCGTCTTAATTTGCAGCGTTAGGCCACTCATATACCTGTAAACAAAACAGAAACTCCTAAGGACAACCTTACCATCAGAGACACTGAGTGTCCACAATGTCTAAAGGACTGGGCATGGCGTAAGAGACAGCATCTAGATTTGCTGTGATATAGCCCAGGGTTTGGTAAACTTTCTCTGTAAAAAGACAGGTATAATAACAAATTCTTTTTGTGGTGCTGGGAATCAAATCTGAGAGCTTCATATTAGGAAAGCACTCTAACACTATACTACACTCTTAGCTTAACCTTTATTTTTATTTTTGATAGTACTGGGGTTAGAATTCAGGGCCTCACACTCTACCAATTGAGTCACGCCCTGAACCTTCATTTTTAATGAATAAACTTTTTTTCTTTTTGGTGTTATTGGAGTTTGAACTCAGGGCCTTGTGTTTGCCAGGCAGGCCCCTCTATCACTTGCGCTTCTCCTGGCCCATAAAATATTTTTTAGAGAAGCTTTAGGTTCACAATAAAACTGAGCAAAAGTACAGAGAATTTCATATATCTCTGCTCCCATACATATGCATAATGCCATATCACAGAGGTCCATTTGTTACAGTCAATGAATCTATAGCGACACCTTATCACCCAAAGTTCGTAATTTATGTAGGGTTCACTCTTGGTGCAACACAGTCTAAGGGTTTTGACAAATGACTATAATTAGTTGTGTCTACCATTCTGCAATATCATACATAAGTCTGTCTGTCCTATAAATTCTCTGTGCTCTGCCTATTTATCCCCACTCTCTCTCCAATCTTAAAAGGAGCCACTGATCTTTTTACCGTCTTTGTAGTTTCTCCTTTTCCAGATTGTCACAAAGTTGAAATCATATATGATGTTACACTGTCTTCCTTTTTTTTTGGTTGTACTGGGGTTTAACTCAGGGCCTGCTGCTTGCTAGGCAATCGATCTACTATTTGAGCCACATCCCCAGCTCAACTGTCTTCTTGAAGTACAGATGGTCAATAAATACACAAAGATATGCACAACATCCCTGATCATAAAAGAAATGCAAACCAAAACTACACTGATGTCACTCCATTCCAGTCAGAAAGGCTATTATCAAGAACACAAACAATGTCAGTCTCATTCTCACTCTAGGGATAGCCTGCTTGCAATCTATTGTAAGTGTACTCCTTTCCCAATAAACTTTACTATCACTTTCTAAAAAACAAAACAAAAAACACAAACACAACAAATGTTGGTGAGGATGTGGGAGGAAAAGAAATCCTTTTATACTGTTGGTGGTAACGTAAATTAATACAACTACTATGGAAAACAATATGGAGCATCCTCAAAAAACTAAAATAGAACCACCATACACTCCTGGGCATATATCCAAAGGAATGTTAAGTTAGGAGACAACAGAGACACACTTGCACACTCATGTTTTGTTGCAGCACTATTCACAATAGCAAAGCTATAGATACAACCCAGATGCCATAGAAACGATGAACGGATTAAGAACATGATATATTTACACAATGGGGTATTATTCAGCCATAAAAAAGAATGAAATTATTTCACTTGCAGGTAAATGGATGGAACTGGAGATAAGTAGTGAAATAAAGCCAGGTTCAGAAAGACAAAGGTCAGGCTAGCAGAGTGGCTCAAGCAGTAGAGCACAAGCGTGAGGCCCTGAATGCTGCCACAAAAAAAAACCAAAAAAACAAAAAACCAAAACTGGGCACCAGTGGCTGTCGCCTATAATCTAGCTACTCAGGAGGCAGAGATCAGGAGGATCGAAGTTCAAAGTCAGTCCGGGCAAATAGTTCCACAAGACCCTATCTCGAAAAACCCTTCACAAAAATAGGGCTGGTAGAGTGGCTCAAGGTGAAGGCCCTGAGTTCAAGCCCTAGTACCACAAAAAAAAAAAGACGAAGGTCAAAGCATATACACAAATACAAACATGATCATACACACACACACACACACACAGAGAGAGAACACGTTTGTAATCATGGGACTGTTTAAGGAGACTAAGGGAGGAAGGAGAAGAAAGAGAATGATAGTGAATAATATCAAAACACATTGCTTCTGTGTTGAAAGGTAGCATAATGAAATGCACTGAAAGCTGCTGAGTAAGAGGGGGCAGGGGAAAAGGGCAGAGTAACAGAGGTTAATCTGATTAAAGTATAATATATTCATGGATGAAATACCATGGCAAAACCCATTTGAACACTGAATATAAACTTAAAAAAAAATGGACAGGAATGTAAAACAGGTCCTGTTAAGGGGAAGGATGTTAATGGAAGGAGGAAGGGTAAGTGGAGAAGGTGAAGGAGGGTGAATAATGGTTGATGTTCATAACTGAATGAAAACAGAACAATGAGCTGGATGCCGATGGCTCACACCTGTAAACCTAGCTTCTCAGGAGGCATCGATCAGGAGGATCTCCATTCAAAGCCAGCCAGGGCAAAGAGTTTGAGAGATTATCTAGAAAATACTCAACACAGTCCTTTTTTTAGGCTCAACCCTGTTTTGGCTGGTGGAGTGGCTCAGGTTGTAGAATGCCTGCTTAGCAAGTGTGAGACCCTGAGTTCAAACTCTAGTACCACCAAAAAAATAAAATGAGGAAAAAAAAGAGCTCTTTGTACATTTTAGGTAGCAGTCCTTTATTAGCTATGTCTTCTGCAAATATTTCTCCCAGTATGTGGCCTGTCATCTCATTCTTTACAATCTTTTAAAAATATAAAAGCTATTCTTAGTTTGTGGACCATATGTGATTCATGGGTCACAGTTCACTCACACTTGATATAGTCACACCCATGGAATCTGATCACAGACAGCATAAGTATCATATGAAGAGTTAGCCCCTTATCAGCTCATAAAACACTGAATATTCAAAAATATAGTTATCCTCCTGTTAAAGTTTGTAACTAATCTTCATCTCACAGATCAAAACAGGAAACTGACTTACCCTAAAACATTAAAGTAGGAAGAGGCTGAAGGGTATGAGGGGATGGCTCAACAGGTAGGAGGCTTGCCTAGCATTCATAAGGCCCTGGGTTCAGTCCTCAGTACCAAGAGAGAGGAAAGAAAAAAAAATACTTAGGGTTTTGTTTTTTTTTTTTTCACTTGGGAGGCTAAGGCAAGAGGACAGTTTGAGGCCAGCCTGGACTACATTGCAAGACCCTGTACAAACAAATAAATAAGTGGCCAAAAATAAAGCCTAAACTCAAGAGCAGTAAATACTTCCAAAAAGATTGATTTTTCAAATACCACTTAGAAACCCCATTTCTTGATTCCCCCAAAATGGAAGCCTTATTAAAATAACATGGCCACCATGAGTAACTTACAGATGACAAGGTTTAAATAAGGTAATCAGCTTCATCAACTAATTCACAGATCTGCTTCTAAATAAGGTGGTTAACGAGATTAGGACACAGGAAAATTCACAGGTAGCTCCTAGCACAGATAGGAGACCACCAAATATACCAAGCCAAAAAATCAAACAAGCATGGAAAGCCACAGGAAAGGCCTGTCCCTGAACTACTTATAGGTGTGACCAAAACTTCTGTGAATAAGAAAATAAAACACTTTTCTCAATGTCCTAGGAATGATAAAAGGAAAGGGGAAATATTCCGAAGGATCTATAAGGCCAGGAACTTTTTTAAGAGAACAGAATTGATCAGAAATGTGACGGTGAAAACCTGTAAACCCCCAACTCCTGTCAGTGTAACGTCACTATAGGCTGGCTACTCCAACCACAGACAAGGAAATGGTTCTCATGGAGACTGATGTCTAAACTCACTTCAAAAAACAAGCAGCAGGGCTGACAGAGTGGCTCAAATGGTAGAGTGGCTGCCTAGCCAGTGTAAGGCCCTGAGTTCAAACCCCAGAGCCACCAAAAAAAAGAAAGAAAGAAAGAAAACAAGCAGCAAACTGTCCACCAAGGAAAATATTTTCTCATTTCTGGTTTCCAAGCCTTTAAAAAAAAAAAAAGTGATCAAAATATGCTATGAGCAATGGCATACATCTTAGTCCCAGTTATTCAGCAGACTTAGGTGGGAGGATTGGTCATTTGAAGCCAGGATTCAAGATGAGCCTGGGCAACACAGCAAGACTCTATCCCATCCTCCCGCCAAAAAAAGACTCAGCTTCATTAAGAGTGTCTGCCTAGCAAGCATGAAGCCTTGAGTTCAAATAATTCCACCGACCAGCTGTTTTTAATCAAAGGACAAATCCGGGCCTTCTGAAAGTTCTATATCAATAGTAAGAATCTAATGGTCTTGATGTTAAATCTGAAATTCACCTTAAAAAGAAAAAAAGATTCTCTATAGAATGCTAAGAACTTTCTCTCCAATCTATTAAATTACAACTACAAACCTCACCAACTGTCCTCTTCAGAGTCCTTGACTTTCAGAAATATTTTGACGCTGGCTCTAGTTCAGCAACACAGTAATTCTCATTCCCTTCTTAAGCCCCTCCATCTTAAAAACCATGATGTAGTAAGTGTCTCAATCCTCAGAAGTCAGTGTCTTTGAAATAACAATCAGAGGGCATTATTTCAAATCTTCCTTATGTCAAATTCATCACAGAATTGAGGTAGAAAGTCTTCACAAGATTCAAGTAATGCACTTTTAAAAGGGCTCCCTTCTATTGCTCAAAGGATAAAAACCTACTTGTTTAATTTTAATTTTTCTTAAATTAAAAAAATTTTTTTTTCTTTGGTAGTATGGGGTTTGAGCTCAGGGTTTCATGCTTGCTAGTCAGGTGCTCTACCACTTAAACTACACTCACAGACCCAGAACGTATTTCTCTATTCAATTCCTAATGTTTCACTCCAAATATTCCAACATTTTAAGAGCAAGAGACTTCCATAGTACAAAGACACCAACTATTGTCTTTTACATTTGACAAGTGAGGGACCCAAATTAGTTGGATTTTTTTTAAAGAAAAAAAAAATTGAGAAAAACTGTAACCTTTGTTTTTTCTTGGTGGTACTGGGGTTTTGAACTTAGAGCTTCACATTTACTCTACCTCTTGAGCCACGCCC